TTTCAGGTTCCACTTTTAAATCTGTGATCCACTGGGAATTAATTTTTATACAACCTTGAAGATGAATATCTAATATCCTTCTTCAGCATGTGACATGTGAGCATTCAGTTTTACCAGTATCATTTGTTGAAGATATATGATACTAGAGATAATAGACTCTAAAGGACAGTGTACTGTTATTACCCTGCTAAGAGGGCAGAGTGTTATATAAGCTCCAATGTCTCATTGTTATACCCATTGATTAGTGTCTGTCAATCCTCATCAGTGAAGGTTCTTCTGACATACAAAATGATTAATAAAAATGCCCACAATAGATCAACATGCAGAGATTAATAATTTACTGTATGTTACATTCTAAATGAGATATCTTTAGCATACTTATTCCCTCAAGTTTCAGGGCTCATTACCAAAGACAGAGTCGAAGGATGTTTTTGTTTATTTGTTTGTTTTGTTTTTTTGAGACAGGGTTTCACTGTGTAGCTTTGTGCCTTTTCCTGGAATTCACTCTGTAGCCCAAGCTGGCCTTGAACTCACAGAGATCCACCTGCCTCTACCTCTCGAGTGCTAGGATTAAAGCCATGTGCCACCACTGCGCGGTCCATAGGTACCACAGCCAACATCGAATTAAATAGGGAGAAACTCAAAGTGATTCCACTAAAATCAGGAACAAGACAGGGCTATTCATTCTCCCCATATTTATTCAATATAGTACTTAAATAAATTTATTTATTTTACATCCAGGCTGCAGTTTCCCATCACTCCTCCCCTGCTATTGCTTCAGACATTCTCCTCTGTTTCTACACACCAATCCACTCCTCCCTCTCCATTTCCTTTTAGGACACATTACCATAGGAGACAACTTGCTGAACAGAACATCAATAGCACAAGCACTAAGTTGGAAAATTACCTTCTTTAAATTGGGAAATTTTTAAATTGGGAAAGTTCTTCAGAAGAGAATTTTGTAGAGTTAGTTTTCTCCATCCACTTTTTATGTGTTCCAGGGATCACACTCAAATTGTCAAGGTTGAACAAAAATAACCTTATCTGCTGAACCATTTCATTAGTCTTTATTTTTTATTCTTTTACAGTTTTATGCATGTACATAATGCATTTTTGTCACTTACATCACCATTACTCACTTGAGTCTTTATAACTTTTACTCTTGAAACCCTTCTTTCCAACAAGTTTCCCATTTAATTTCATGAAATATATATAAATTCATGAAGTTGTGAATGTTTAATATGTTGTTATTTTATAACTTACATTTAAAATTTTAAATTCAATTTTTTAAATTATAATGTAATGTGTGTATATAATATGATATAATGTAATATAATTTGTAGAATAATATATTCTTGTGTTTATGGCTAATGACCAGGGCCCCAGCCCTAGTGCAAACTCATTTACGCTGTCTTAGCAGTCATTGATTTCCCATTGCTATATATAAAATAGGCCTTGTGAAATTACCCCATCCATCTTGACATGTCTAATGGTACAGTCAGCTTAGAGGGCTTATTTAGGAAACTGTATCATTGAGATTTAATGGGTGCACCTTTCCTGTTATGTTTAGAAATCATGAAATCTTGCAGCAGAACCTGGAGCATTGTATGTAGCCATCATATTCTTAATGCACTCATTAGTGTTGGGCACATCTTTTCATTTTGAACAGGTATGGAAAACTGTGATAGCCTCTATTTGGTGTATAAAGAAGATTTTGAGGGCTGAGAGGTACAATTACCAATGGTCACATTTCCCAGATGTGGTTGTTTGAATGTAATTGGCCCAAATAATCTCCTAGGGTGTTGCACTATTAGGAGGTGTAGCTTTATTGGAGTGGCTATAGCCTTGTTAGAGGAAGTGTGTGTCACTGTGGTGGTGGGCTTTGAGGTTGCCTATGCTCAGGTTACTGTCCAATGTCACAGTTGACTTCCTGTTGCCTACAAGAAATAGAACTTTCAGCTACTTCGCAAACATGCCACCATGCTCCCCACCATGATGATAATGGATTGAACCTCTGACACTATAAGCCAGCCCCCACAAGTAGTGTTTTCCTTAAAAGAGTTGCTGTGGTTATAGTGTCTCTTCACAGTAATAGAAAACCTATTATGATAAACGTTGCTACCCGGGACTGGAGTATTGCTGAAATAATCTGACCATGCTTTGGTTTAGGGTACTATGCACTTTGGAAGTTTGGGTTAGGAAAGTAGTGGAATGCTTTCAGTGCTGCATAAAGGGCCATCCTACTAGGCGCATGGAAGACAGTGGTACTGAAGTGCTTTGATGAACTTGGAGGACCAAGAGGTTTTGGAGGAGAAGAATGTTAGTATGTCTTAGAGACTGGTCTTGTGATATTTTGGTGAAGAAAGCATCTGTTTTTGCCCTTGTTCAAAGACTCTGCCTGAGTCTAAAGTAAAGGGTTTTGGATTAATTCTATTAGCAGAGGAAATCTCCAAACAGCCTACTATAGACACTATGGTGTGGTTATTAGTGGTAACTCTAATGAGGATTTATAATGAAAAGGAGCAAGCTGAGGAAGGTAAATTACAAACTGTAAATTTTGAGGTATAACAAAGCACCAGGAAGTGGAATGGAGCTAAATCCTGTGTTCAAGGAGATAAATGGATTAAGAAATGAAATATGCCTTTTAGATATATTCCATCTTAGACTACTAGCAATAGTGGAGAGGATGACTGGGCTGGCTTACCCTGGTGATCAGATTGGTAAATGCACTGTTATCATAGAGCCTTTATCCAGTAACTGATAGAAGAAGATGTAGAAATCTACAGCCAAGCACCACGCCCAGCTCCAGGAGTCAAAGAGAGGGAAGAGAGGTTCTATGAGCAAGGAGCTTGAGGTGGACACCTACAGAGACAACCGAATCAATCTAGTGAGAACTCATGAACTTTAGACCAACAGCTGTGAAGTCTGCACGGGACTGGACTAGGCCTTCTGCATAACTGAGACTGTTATGTAGCTTGGTGTGCTTAAGGGGCCACTGGCAGTAAGATCAGGATCTATCTCAGATGCATGAGCTGGCTATTTGGAGCTCATTACCTCTGGTGAGACACCTTGCACAGCCTTTATGCAGGGGGAGGGGTTTGAACCTACCTCAACTGAATGTACCAGGCTTTGCTGATGCCCCATGGGAGACTTTACCTTTTTGGAGAAGGGAATGGGGCTGGGTTGGAGGAATAGGGGCATGGAGCAGGAGGAGGGAAGAGAGGGAGATTTATGGTTGTCATGTAAAATGAATAAAAAATTTCTTAATATAGGAAAAAAGAATAAAGACATGGAATACAGGTAGTGATGACCTCCAGGCAAGGTCCTGCCCAGCTAACTTTCCTAGTTGTGAAAAGGAACTAAAGAAAAGCTTAGAGCCAGGTCAATAGGTTCACACCTTTTATCCTAGCCCTGGAAGGCAGAGGCTGGTGGATTGCTGAGTTTGAGGCCTGCCTGGTCTGCAGAGCAAGTTTCATGACAGCTAAGCTTAGGCAGTAAAGAAAACAATGGAAAACAGAGATCTGGTGAAGATGTAATTGAATGAGGGGGCCATGTTCCATCTTCAACAAGCAGCATAACTTGGCAGCTTTGGGCCTGTGGTTCTGGGTTTAGAGTTAAGCATAGATGAAAGTGGTTATGGAGTTTGCCTGCTCACATAAGAAAAATACTGAGGCCAGGCATGTGTCAGGGAGTGTCCCTGAATGGAGGCCAAGAGAGAGCATTAGGTGAAGCTGTGAAGTTGAAGCCTGTACTGCCTTGGAAAACCAAGAAGTTAGAGATGCCAGAGTCATAGGATACCCAGTGAGGAGCCCTGATAACTGGGAATGGAACCAGCCCAATAGAATGAAATATGTTGTAGTCAACAAAGCTGAATGGAGTTGCAGGTCTGAAGAGGGTTTTCAGATCGGACATGGAGAAGCAAAGTTTGGAGTTTGTGCAGTTGGTTTTCAGTAAGCCACTGCAATTAAATGCTTTCCTCATTAAAATTACCATAGTCATGGTGTCTTTTTATAGCAATAGAAACCCTAACTAAGACACCAGAAGATTTAAACAAAATCCAAACACTCATTTTCTGTTTCCCCAAGAAGAAATTTCAAATCAGGTAAGTGGAATGAAAGAAAATTGTTCCTTGAGTAAACTGACACCAGAAGCTGGGAGAATGAATGTTCTTACTTTCCTCTCCATTTAGACTTACTTGCTGTGGGCATTTTGTATTATAGAAAGGACAACCAAATACCCACTGTTGAAGAAATGAAGGAAGACAGAGTATTTTTACCTCACAATTTTCTTATCTAAAATCTTATTCAGATTAATTTATTTTGTCTTATGAGTGTAGTCTTCCCTATCTGTGTTTGGTAAATCTGTTTATATTCATTACCAAGAATGTGGTCTCTAAAATCCCTGCTTTGTTTTTAAAAGTGGAGCTCTACCCTTTACCTTTTCTTATTTACATATATATATATATATATATATATATATATATATATAGAGAGAGAGAGAGAGAGAGAGAGAGAGAGAAAGAAAGAGAGAGAGAGAGAGAGAGAGAGAGAGAGAGAGAGAGAGAGAGAGAGAGAGAGAGAATGCTATTCAGCACAGAGCAATAACTGTGGTCAGATATGGAAATAGTGACAAATATTCAAGTAAATAAACTTATAAGTTAATAAAGTAAGGAAGTATAGCACTAATAGAACAATACCCAATGGTTCACCATAATACAAACATGCTTATGAGAAGAAAGCAGCAGAAATCTTATGTGAGAAAGGCACTGGCTTTCCTATGTTAAGAATCATAGTCACAGAGAGAGTTTCTATTACTGTCTTTCTCCCTGTCTCTCTTTTCAGTCATCATTAGCTCATTTTTCTCCTATGAAGATAGGATAGTTTGCCCTGTCCCGCGGGCCAGGTTATTTGATGAGACCCGAGGAGGCACCTCCTGAAAGATCAATGGGGGTGAGAGAGAAAGGAGACCAGGTGCATAAAAGAAGACAAAGTCAGTCTGAGTCACGTCAAGGTCTCGTTTATTGCAAGGGGAATCAGGCTTATATATGCTAGGGGCTAGGAGAAGTAGATAGGGGTATGGAAAGTTACTAGGAGGAAGTTAGGGTAAGGTAGGGTTCAGGAAAAGGTTTCTTTGTTCCAGGGCCTGATCAACGGACCATACAGCAAACCATTATGTTTCAGGGAGTTGATCAAAAGGTACATACTGTGGTCTTGTTGAAAAATGGTTGCTATTGAAACTGTTAACAGAAGGTTAGGTACACAGCTTTTTCCCATGAGAATCAGTTAGGCTACTTGGCTCCTGACAATTCCCCCTTCTTTTTATAAAATGGCCAAAGCAGTCTTTGGTCATAAATCGACCAAATGGGGTGCGTCCTGTGTCTGGCAACGTGCCATGTTGAGCCGGTCTCTGGCGACCTCTGTATGTTGTGGTCCCAGCACAGGCCCCATACTATTCCCGTCATTGAGTACCCTCTAGCTTTTAGTTGTAGGGTTTTTTTAGGTTCATAGGCCGCTGAACCTGAGCCTTTCACCTGTTTCGATAGTTTCCTCTCGAATTTCTATCTGATGGTAGTGTACTGAAAGAGTTTTTGATAGGGCCGAATCGATCTGATTTTTGATGAATTGTGTTAGTCATTGAAAAGCCCAAGGACCAAAGGTGAGGAGGAGAAGGAAAATGATCAAGGGGGCTAGGAGGGTGGGAATCAGAGTAGAAAGCCAAGGGGACCCCTTTACCCAACCCCCAAACCAATTGTTTTGATTTTCAAAATCATGTTTTCTTTGTGCCAATCTTTCTCTTAGTTTATCCATTGATTCTCTGACTACCCCAGTGTGATCGGCATAAAAGCAGCATTCTTCCTTCAAGGCTGCACATAATCCCCCCTCCTTTAAAAATAGTAAATCCAGACCTCTTCTGTTTTGTAACACAACCTCAGAGAGTGAGGTTAAAGATTTCTCCAGAGCAGAAATGGATCTTTCTATGGCCTCTAGGTCAGTAGCCATAGCCATTTGTAACTGCATAAGGTGGTTGCTCTGCACGAGGGCAGTAGTTCCTGTACCAATTCCTGCAGTGATGCCCCCAATACCTAACAATAGGGCAATAGTTATAGACACAGGTTCTCGAGTGTATCTGCCTCTCTGCTCAAAGAATTCCATCACTGAGCTTTCTTGATGATAAGTAACATGAGGCCATAACTGGACCCTCACACAAAATTCATGGGAATCATCAAATATCTGAGCAGATATGCAAGGCATCAATCCTGTGTTACAGGCCCAGTAGAACCCGTTGGGGGCTTCGAGATAATAGCTCCCTTTATAAGGTGTCAGAGTTTGTTTACAGAGGTGACTATGGGTCGATGGAATCTTTCCTAAACAAGAACCTTGTCCAGAGACTTCAGGGAGTGTTAGTTTATGTGGCTTAGTCTGACACCTATTGCTCGGGGAAGTGAGGTTATTGGCAGTAGACTGAAAGGCGATTCCTTCATAATAAGGGGGACTGGAGGTAAGGCAGAGCCAGCAACCCAAGGTTTGGTTTGGATTTGTGGCATTTAGGGCCAGATAAGCTCCATGGACCAAATTAAACAATCTATCTCCTGTTCCTCCAAAAGGAGTAAGGAGAGTTCCGTTACTGGAGTCTGTACTCACGGTGTTTGTATGGTAGGGAAATGGATGAGGATGAGGTGAGGGGGGAGGAGGTGATGGCACCTTTTCATGATTGGAGGGAACTTTTTGGTCAGAGAAAACTACATTGGGTCCTACTGGCTTTGGGTACAGGTTTTCTATTGTTAGCAAGATCTTGAAAATGACTCCTTTATCTGTGCCATCAAGATACCAGCAGAGTCCCCATGTTTTTCCTGAGGGCCATTCTTGATTTGCCCTACCCTGAGGGGTGAAGGTTATGTTTAAAGGTAATGATAGCCTGGGATTATGGGCTTTCCCAGTATAGGAGCTAAAGCAAAAATGTCTATTCGTGCTAGGTTTACTGTATCCCCTTGTAACTGAAATAAGGTCCCAAGATGAAGTTGGTTCCCAGTAAGCTGCCCCTGTAGTTTCACAACCCCATCAAGCACAAAAGAAGGTCTCAAATCCCCCACATCTAGCAGCCGTAGCTCGGCTTCTGCCATCCTTAGGGCAGACATAAAAGTCAGATTGTGCTAACCTACAACGAGCTGTAGGACTAACACAGCCTGGGGCAGTCATCATGGCAGGGTTATTATCATGGAATATCCCACAAGGGCTTGTCCAAGTGTTTTTAGGACTGCGAGGAAATCGATGGCAGTTTGGAATCATTTGGCCTCTGTACCATTTAACTGGTGTTGGCCAATAGTAGGTATATCCCAAGAATCCAATCCTGCAGCCAGCTGACAGAAGTCAGGAGTGAGTGACAGCCACCAGGAATAAGGAGCATGGTTTGCAGTAACCCTCCAGACCTCCTCCCCCGTTACTGTGAAAATTCACCAGGTAAGCTTTTTAATAGCATGGGGCTTTCCTTGGAGATGCAGGAGAGGGGAAGGGGGAAGAGTAGTAAGCAAATGATGAAACAGGGGTTGATTTTCCGAGGCCAGCGATGAACAGGTCCTGCCATTGAGATGTCCATGGCTCCCTTTATTTTCCAAGTCGGAGGCATTTCTGAAAGAAAAAAAGAGAATTTTTGTCTCAGGGTTGTGTCCTGGACATAACAGTTATTTTTTCCTTAGTCTAGGGAGGCAATCTGTGCAGAGTAAGGCTTAATCAGTCTTTCTGGTAGCCAACGAGCCCCATTTTCCTTGGAGTCATAAATACATGCAGACCCCTTTCCCCAGATTATAACTGGATCAGGACCGCCCCATTTTCCAGTTATTGGATCCTTCCAAAGGGCCTGTGCATATCCTTGTTTGGTTTCTGGGTGCCAGTGTCACTCAGCCACAGATTTTCCAAAAGCATCCAATGTCAGAAAATTTAATACAAATAGGGTGTGAGAAAGCAAAGCTTTGTGGTTTCCCTTAAGGGGAAATAGTGTCTCTTGTGAGCTAAGTTTTTTTTTTTTTTTTTTTTTTTTGGATTTTCGAGACAGGGTCTCTCTGTGTAGCTTTGCACCTTTCCTGGAACTCACTTGGTAGTCCAGGCTGGCCTCGACTCACAGAGATCCGCCTGGCTCTGCCTCCCAAGTGCTGGGATTAAAGGCGTGCGCCACCACCGCCCGGTCATGAGCTAAGTTTATTAAGAGTATTTTTTAAAGTTTGGTGAGCTCTCTCCACGATACCCTGGCCTTGAGGGTTATAGGATATTCCAGTGATGTGTTTAATTCCTAATTATAAACAAAATTGTCTAAATTTGCTACTAGTATATCCCGGACCATTATCAGTTTTTATACATTTTGGCTGACCCAGCACTGTAAAGACATGTAACATATGATTGATAACATCTTTGGTGGCTTCTCCACTATGAGTGGAGGCACAAATAAATCCACTGAAGGTATCTACAGTAACATGTATAAACTTTAATTTGCCAAAAGAAGGAACATGGGTGACATCCATCTCTCATATTTGTCCAGGTATAAGCCCTCTGGGGTTTACTCCATAATGAGGTTCGGGTAAGAGCATCAGGCAATTTTTACAGCTTTTTATAATTTCCCTAGCCTGTTCTCTAGTAATTGAGAACCTTAGTCTCAGAGTTTGAACATTGAGGTGATAAAGGCGGTGTGCCTCACGAGCGGCTGCTACCTGATCATGTTCCAAGTGAGAAACCAAGATAGAATGTGTAGCAGAATCGGCAAGTTCATTCCCCTGAGCTAGGGGTCCAGGTAGGCCTGTGTGGGCACGAATATGGCCAACATAAAAGGGTAGCGACCTCTGTCAGATTAATTTTTGTAATTCAGAAAACATTTGGAAGGTGGGAGTAATGGGTTGGATTATTGGGACCATTTCCAAAGCCTGTAAAGCCCCTACCACATATCTACTGTCTGAATACAAATTAAAGGAGCAATCTTCAAAATTTTTAAAGACAGCAAGGGCAGCATATAGCTCCACCAGCTGAGCTGACTTGAAAGGAGTTGTCATAACGTTCTTTTGGCCATTGAGGACATAAGCAGCTTTACCATTACTTGACCCATCTATGAAAAGCACAGGGGAGTCCGGGATGGGCTCCATTCGGGTATTTTTAAGAAAAACAAAAGAAGTGAGGGAGAAAAATTGTAGGAGTTTGTTACTGGGCACCTGTGTGTCAAGTTTTCCTTCATAGGTGCAGACAAGGATGGCCCAGTCAGGACTACGGGTACATAACCATTCAAGTTGCTCTTTATCATATGGCATAACAATAATATCAGGGTCATGCCCAAAGTATCGAGTGGAGGCTTTTATTCCTAACATTATCGCTTGGCAAACCAGGGAAGGGTAGGTGGGAAGGATTTTTCTTTTAGTAACAGGAAGATGTACCCACAGTAAGGGTACGGGCTCTTACCAGAGCAGGCCTGTAGGGGAAAAATCTGTAGAAAAAAATGATCAAATACAATGGGAGGGTCGGGTCAAAATATCCCGTGTGTTGTTGAGTGATGGCCGTTTCAACCTTTTGTAATACCCTCTCTGCCTCCACCGTAAGGTATCTAGGGGATTGAGGGTTGGAATCTCCCTTGAGGATATCCTCAAGGGGGCGTCCCTCTCCCTTGGTTATTTTTAAATAGGGTCGCAGTCAATTGATATCCCCTAAAAGCTTTTGAAAATCATTGAGACAACGAAGTGTATCTTTTCTAATCTGGATTTTTTGTGTATAGAGGAGGTCCGGGTGTAACTCGAACCCTAAAAACAGGAAGGGGTATTGGGTTTATATCTTCTCTGGAGCTATATGAAATCCTTGGTCCTGAAGTGTGGTAATTATCTTTTGAGCTATATTTTGTGTTTTTTCTTTAGATTCGCCTGCTAATAACAAATCATCCATATAATGTATAATATAAATTTCGGGGTACTGGATCCTCATTGGATCTATAGACTGAGCTACATACTTTTGACATAGTGTAGGGAAATTGGCCATTCCTTGGGAGTCATTGCTAGGAGCTGGGGAGCTTGGAGTCTCTGTTTGCTATAGTAAGCTTTTTATCAAATAATGTAAATGCCATATTCATCAGATCTTTGACAGGTTTGAGGACCATTATCTATTAAATGTATCTGAGCCAAACAAATCTAGGCCCAATCTTGAAAATATCTCTAAGTTTGGTAACAATAACCAGGCCAATTTGTTCTCTTATAGATATATTAGTTAAATATACCTCTCAGTTTTTTTTATTAAAATAGAACAGTTTATGCTTTAAACTAGTATCTGAATAGCCAGATGACTAGTATTAACTTGTATTCCTTAACATAAAGGACATGCAAACTCAGACATTCAAAACCAAACATACATGTGGCCACATTTTTCATTCATACCTGTAGAGTAGACAGACATTTTTACAACTATGACCCTTTGGAGTCTCAATGTAACAGCAGAATAGCAAGACAAAGAAATCTGAAACATGTTTCATTTTTTTATATATCTCAAGTCATTTTTTTAAATCATTATTTAAGCCTTTTTATCCTCAGACCTTTATACCTTGCTTTTAGGTATTTTAATAACTTGCATTTTACATATTTTTTAAAATATTTTTTTTCTTAACCAACAATAATTTGAAACCAATTCTCTTAAATGATGGCAAGTATTTGTAACCCATTGAACTCAAATGACTAAAACCCATGTAAATTTTTATTTTTTCTGTGGAAACAAAAGCATAATTTTCCCAGTATCTTGAACTGGTAATTTAACATTTGTTTTTAAGCAATATCAGGACAGAGAAGGGTTAACAAGAGAAGCTGCTGGCCGGCAGAAGAGACCTTGAAGTTATCACAGTAAAGGAAGGGAGGGGGAGCAGTGGGCATAGAGCATGTCCTTGGCTGCCAGTGTTCCTGAAAAAAAAGTTTTGGTTAACTCCTCTGACTAAAGTCAGATTCTCTGCTCAGTGTTCACACAGTTTTTGTCAATTGCAGGCAGTCCCCATTGCCCTGTCCAGAGCTCCTGTCTTTGCCCGCCTGTACAGAGAGCACGCACCCCCACCCTCATGAGAGCAGCCAGCTGTCTGCAGTCCTGATAGCAAGAGAGCTAGGGAGGGATGGAGGTGGCCTTTGTTATGCCTCTCCTTCCTCCTCTTCCTTTAGGAAAATAAGGGAGGTTAGTAGACAGAAACAAATAGCATTTACACAGACAATCCAAGAACCAGAACATCAGCACTGAGACGATGGCCTCATTCACAGCCAGCAAGTCCCTCTTGCAGTATGCAAGCCCCATTTGGCAGGAGCTACCTGTTTATCTCAGTTCAATCGGGGAGTGGGGGTGGGAGACCCAGTTCCCTCTATTGTGGCTCACACATCCTTCCAGTGGGCTAGGCAAAGGTCTAGTGAAGAAGAAGGGAACTGTCCCATAGTGTCCGTCACAGTCAAGTCAACAATGAGAACAGTTAATACATTACACACAAGACCAAGGGCACACGAAAAAACTTTGCCCCAACAAAACAACCAACAAAGCTCCAAAAACAATGACAGCCTGATGTGCTCTGGGGGGAGTGACCCTCCAGGCTCAATCACATCAAAAACAATCCAGACTCAAGGATCTCTGTCCTTAATCAAACAGACATCAGGGGCTTCCACATCCCTGTCAGTCAGACATGGACCTTTTTTTTTTTTTTTTTTGGAGAAGAGAAGGAGAGAGTAAAGTAACAATGATCACAACAAAACATACAAAAAAAAACCCCACAAAATGGCTCTGACAATTTCCCGGGGCAAAATACAAAGTGGCACTTTCTCCCACCATGGGGGAAGATACCCCAAGATGCTCCTAAACCAAATGGTCACCTCTGAGGTGGCCTTAGGGCTCTGGGACGTCTCCCTTCGCCACCAGGTTCACTGTCCGGACACGTCTGTCCCAGTGAGCCTGCAAAGTACAAATCAAGCCTGCAAAGTACAAAACAAAAGTAACAAGACAGAGAGACACAGACAAGACAGAGAGCGCTCTTACCGGTAGATGTCAATAAACCTCTGGAACCTTGGGTGTCAGGCAGGGGGAGTTTGAGAGAAAATCCTCTGCAAGGGCTAGTAAATGTGAAACATGCCGGTCTCCCTCTGTTTTCTTTAGAACATCTCTAATCACACCATAAAAACTAAAAAAGGCATCGGGACATTTTCCCGTCTCTGATTAATTTGTTAATATCTTTTCCAACCTTGTTCCAAGTCAGAGGGTGAATTCCTGGTCCATTAATCACTAACCAGGGACATTTCTCCTCCACATATTGGAAGAATTTTATTAAATCCTTTTCTTTTAACTCTTATTCCTCTCTCCCTAAGATTACCTTTCATCTCCTTTAGAAAAACAGCCTCTTTAGATAAATTTTTGCCCATGATCGATGGGACGAAACACTTACCTCAAGACTCTCCCGCGTTGCACGAGTGATGCGGTCCGGGCGTCTCTACCCTGATCCTCTCCGGGGCCCCTTCTGTTGTCCGTCGTCCGGCAGGTCACCGTGCCTCGAGCCCCACGTTTGGGCGCCACTTGCCCCGTCCCGCGGGCCAGGTTATTTGATGAGACCCGAGGAGGCACCTCCTGAAAGATCAATGGGGGCGAGAGAGAAAGGAGACCAGGTGCATAAAAGAAGACAAAGTCAGTCTGAGTCACGTCAAGGTCTCGTTTATTGCAAGGGGAATCAGGTTTATATATGCTAGGAGCTAGGAGAAGTAGATAGGGGTATGGAAAGTTACTAGGAGGAAGTTAGGGTAAGGTAGGGTTCAGGAAAAGGTCTCTTTGTTCCAGGGCCTGATCAACGGACCATACAGCAAACCATTATGTTTCAGGGAGTTGATCAAAAGGTACATACTGTGGTCTTGTTGAAAAATGGTTGCTATTGAAACTGTTAACAGAAGGTTAGGTACACAGCTTTTTCCCATGAGAATCAGTTAGGCTACTTGGCTCCTGACAATAGTTTACATGGAGAAGCATTTAAAAATTTATAGACAAATGATAGATTAGATAATCAGGGTAGTAGGTCTTAATGATTTGTTTCTTAACTTCTGCTGTTTTATCTTGCCTTCTCCAATACTGTAACATTTCCTTCCTAAATCAGAGATTTGAGGGAAAATAAAAGCTCTTAAAAATATGACAGCAGTCGTTACTTTGAGGTTACATATTCTACCATTTGATTTCTATGAGTAAGTTTCAGTGATATTAAGTATTAATTTGTGTCTTCAATGCCTTCATTGGTAAATGACACTATAAAGGGGAATATTTCAGCCTTTCTGTGACTGCTCCACTTAGTTGTTATCTCACGTTGTTTTCCTGATCTAGCTCACAAAGACTGATGTCCCACATGATTTAACTACTTACCAGGTGACACTTTGTAACTAAAAACATGTTGAACTTCACATGATAATGTTTACTTCATACATATCTAAGACAAGAAAAAATTCAAACCATTTATTGCAATTGAATTGGAAAATGAAAGAACTAATTAGGGGCCAAGATTCAGAAAAATTTCAAAGGGATAGATTATATTAAGTCAGGATATGCAGCTGTGTTCTTTCAGTAAGTGTTTCAAGAAAGGGAGAAAGTTCTTTGAAACTAGGATAATTTTTAAATGTTGTTTTATAACGAGTGTTTGAGACCATGGGAATGTTTGACATTGAATGAAAAAATCTCCTATTGAACTAGTTTCTTGGAAAATTACAAGTAAAAAGATACAGTTGATAAACAAAAGAATAACAAAGCACAATACTGGGTGGGTTGGGGCGGGGGAAGGCTAGGAGGCAGAAGAAGGGAAGAGAGGGGACATGTGGTTGGTATGTAAAAGTAATACAAAATTCCTAAAATAAAACCCTACAATACAGCATCTAAAAATAAGAACATCAATATTACCAAAAATGTTTAAAGTTTTTGGATTACTACAATATACATAGTTGAAAATATTCAATATTGAAGAAGCAGGATAGAAAATTACCTTATTTTGTTATAGTTCTAAAGAAATTAGTAGTGCTTTACCCACCAAATACTACATATTTTTTCAGGGGAAAATATGTTACCTATATGAAATTCAGAAAATATTAAGTAACAAATGTTTGAAACTGCCAGAAAGAAAAAGTTGTGAATATTTTCACTGTGGGTTACATGTTGAAAGACTTGGTAGTTTGTTTTAGACCTGTGGGAATTTTCCAGAAGCTTGTTTAAATAGACTCAAGATGAGCCAAAGGAAATCACATGGAGAGGGTCACCACTGCTCTTCTCATCATGCCCTCACAGTGGAAACCAAAGATTGAACCGTCTGTCCAGCTTCACCTCCTCCCCACCACTTCCCAGAACCTTCAGTTTCCTAGAAGGATGGCAGAAACATTGGAAATAGTGCTCCCCACCTCTGTAGCTATCCAGTGCAGATTTCAACAGGGTATCAGGGGCCAGGAGACTTCACTGAATATTCAGACCACTCTGTGACATCCATCACACTTGAAAACCCATGAAAGCTTTAACTTAAGGGATTTTCTTTGTCTTGTGAACCATAGAGCAACTGAAGAGATAAATGAGATTTATAGAAGCATACCATATCCTTGACCAGACTTACTCATTTGAGGTTTAGCATTCACAGTTTGTGTAGGAATGGCAGGAAAAGATGACATTGTCAAGTATTCCATCTTTCTTTGTAAGGAAGCCTGAATAGGATCCTTCTACTCTAGCAATTACCTATTACATTTCATACTGAAATAAAAATTGAAAAATTCTTCTCTACTGAACACAATAATTTTTCCTTAGGCACCATATTTCTTTTCATAACTTTTAAATGACCTTTCCCTAAGCTCCTTCATTTTGTTGGATGGTAGGTGGAACTGTGAGCCCAGAAGTCACTGAAACCTTGAGTTTAATTGTCCATGGAATTCTGAAATATGGGAGAGGCCTTAAGTTCTACCAGAATTACCTAGTTAATTTTCAATCACTATTTTATGCAGAATCAAATGTTTTGTCTTTTTTTTTCCAGAGCTGAGGACCGAACCCAGGGCCTTGTGCTTGCTAGGCAAGTGCTCTACCACTGAGCTAAATCCCCAACCCCTTTTGTTGTTTAAAAAAAAAAAGACAAAAGAATTAAATGTTTTAACATAAGCTAGTATTTTCTCAAAAAGTGAAGTGTTAGCCTGGAAGGGTAATAATGTTACGAAATTACACATTCTAAACAAGCAGTTACAGAATCTGGTTTGAGAAGTGAATATTGGAGTAAAAATCAGTTGTTTTGCTCACTCCAAGTGTCAAGACCATGCTTAATTCATTTTCTCATTGTTACTTTTAATGTGATGAGAAATATATTCCCATGACACTAAATCACATGTCACAGAAGATTCATGACATAGTGTCTATCCTCAGTGTGAAAGGCCATCTCATGTCATAGAGGACGGTAGATGTAATCACTGCATAAAGCTTCCATGTTATGACACGAACAAAGGAAATCCCTGATGATATTTGGCAATAATGTTAGGAATGATTGACAAATTAACACACGAATTTATATGGGAACATGAGAATCTACAAGGCACAAAACTATCTTGAGAAAAGGAAGATATTCATATTACTCTATTTCAAAATTTATCTCAGCATGAGAGCATCAGAAGGTTGAGCTACTTGTGTAAAGACTGATCTGAAATTATTGAACATGTTGTTTCAAACAAATATTAATCTATCTTGTCAACTGAAGTTATGAAAATATGACTGATAATTATTAGAACAGGATAGTATAGGGGAATATTTTGATAAAAATTCCTTGAATTATTGAAATGACATTGTCTAACACCTGTAGAGCACTTGTCAAGTGTATACAGAGCTCTAGAGACCAGTTTCCAGAAGTATAAGGGAAAACAACCACAACATAAATGGCAAGAACAACAAAACACACTCAAGCCTCCTAAAAATGACATTCCTTCTTTTTTAATTAAATTTCATTCAGGATTGTAGAAACTTATTTTAGGATATCTGTGCACTTTCACATAAAATTCTATCTCAACAAGAGACATTTTTTATGGTGCAAGTATGCACCAGCTTTCACATTGGGATATGCTTCTTATCCCTCCCCATTTTCAAAATGATGTCTTATCACTCTGATCTTTCTTGAGCCAGAGTCTTCCTCAGTACTTAATAGTTTTCCATCCATTGGTCCTTCACCTGTTTCTTGGCTATAATGAATTTCCAAGAACCTCTAATATACTCTGATATGGCCTCCATCTCCCTAACAAGAAGACAATTTTGAAGTTTTTTTTTTCCTATCATAATGATCAGTTTTACAGACACCTTAAAAATCGTATTGCTTTTAAAAACTAACACACAATTGCTCAAAATAACTGAGACTATACACACACACATACACACACACACAGAGTGGCTTGATACTTGAAGATAAATTATGTGGCACTGAAGAATATGTCTCCAAATAACTTTGTTTCTTATTTTTGTATTTTGAGATATATTGGTAGAATTATCATGGAACAGTAGAATTAAAATCAATTCATGTTGTATATCGCTCTGTATAAATAAAATGCTGATTGGCCAGTAGCCAGGCAGGAAGTATAGGAGGAACAATAAAATGCTGATTGTCCAGTAGCCAGGCAGGAAGTATAGGAGGAACAAGCAGAGAGGAGAATTCTGGGAAGTGGAAGGCTGAGACAGAGAGATGCTGCCAGCTGCTGCCATGACAAGCAAAATGTAAGGTACTGGTAAGCCATGAACCATGTGGCAACTTATAGACTAATAGAAATGGGTTAATTTAAGATATCAGAACAGCTAACAAGAAGCCTGAGGCATTAGGCCGAACAGTTGAAATAATATAAGCATCTGTGTGTTTATTTTATAAGTGGGCAGTTGGACTCCCAGGGCTTGGTGGGACCCGGAGAGAAAATCCAGCTACAAATTTATGTGTTAGATATCCACATTGCATTTAAGGAATCAAATAAATCTAAATTAATGGAAAAGAAAGAAAAGGAAGGAAGGAAGGAGGGAAGGAAGTAATGAAGGAAGAGAGGAAGGAAGGAAGGAAGGAAGGAAGGAAAGAAGGAAAGAAGGAGGGAAAAAAGGAAAAGAAGAAGTCCACAAAGTTGATGAAATTCCATGTAACCATTTCATATTTAAACTAGAAGGCCGACTGGCACATATGATACCCTCAAACCCCAGAATTAACACTGAATGCTTCCTTTCATTACTTATAAAAGCAAAACTTCCTTTAGGACACATTCATAAATCTATAGCTAAAGAAAACATGCTTAACAGAACAGGGAGGGACTTGTAAAATCCGTATAACTGCAAATTTATAATTAAGACAATGAATTCCTAAACTTGAAAGAGAAGAAGCAATGCACTTGAGAGGATGACAGGGTTGCATCTATCTTAGGGAAGGTCAGACTGGGGGCAGCAGGCCTTGGGAAACCCACCAGAGGATGTACTGCCCCTCCACCCTAAGCTCTGGGAAACCCACCACAGGATGGGCTTCCCCTCCACCCCAAGCCCTGGGAAACTCACCAAAGGATTAGACTGGGGGAAGTAAGCCCTGGGAAACCCACCAGAGGATGTGAACCCCTAGTCCCAGA